AAAAAAAAAAAAGAAAAGAAAAGATAAATAGACAATAACGGAAAAAGTACTAAAGATATATCACTTGCTTTCAAAATTATTGTTCTTCACAGGAGCAAAATACTGCTGCATTATTTTGAACATCGCGTCTTCTTTGCGTCCTCTATTTCTTCGCCCCCATACTCTTTAGTTTCTTCTTGAGCTGGAATGGAGCTTTTATCTTCAACGAAATCTACCGGTGAAAACGCAAAGAAGAATTCATGCCCATCAATTGCTCATACAATTGAAAATTCTCCGAGTTTCCAAAACGCGCCGTTGTTCGAATGTTTTGTTGTGGACCCACAATTCCTCTCGATCTCAGACAGAATGGACAATGTTTACAACGCCGTGAACGCGATGTTCMGAATAATGCAGCAGTATTTTGCCCCTGTGAAGAACAATAATTTTGAAAGCAAGTGATATATCTTTAGTTATGCGTCAATTTGATAATAAAAAATAACAGTCAATGTCGCGCTTCCTGTGTGTAACGCAATCTGGTTTGTTTGAAGTTATGGTACACGGTTCGCGCGTAAACAAGAGGAAAGTGCTTTAAATTCTGTGGGATATCTGGTGTGATTCTAATACAATGAATCTTCTGAAGGTTCTAATTGACTATTTGCTGCATCCTTAGCGAGGAGAAGCGCCTTCCAAACCGATCATTGTCTTGTGATGTGCTAGTTTGAAATGTAAGTAAGGTCGGTTGAAAATATATACTCCATTAAACAATGCAGTTTGCTTGGTTTCGTTTACACCAAATAATTTTGCTGCAGTTGTACATAATTTCTGAAACAAACGTTTATAATATTGGAAAGCTTAGGTGATAGTAAAAAAGTATATGATGTTACTGGTGTTGCGAACAAACGTGAAAGGACACTCAAGGTTTGTTTACAGTAATTATGCAATTAGTCATCACACAACAACGATCAAGATAACTAGCAAAATCGCACAAAATAAAATTGTATTCAAATGCATGCGCTTGTTTTTTCAAACGAAACGTATTTGACATCTGTACGTGGCATTTTAAACCAAGAGAAAGATCTCAGCATTGCTTCCGATTAGAAAAATCGATTTCAAATATGAGTGATTACAAAGAAAAAAGTTAACAACAACAAGCGAACTTACACGCGGATCGAAGGTAAAATGTCAATGAAAAGGTTCCCTTTACCAGATAAGGTGCTGTGCGGATCAAAGAGGCTTAAAAATAGATTAAAAGCTTAAAAGAAGCTTTAAGATTTAGGGACATTTCTAGCTTAAGTAGACAACATGTAATTCACTCTCTTTAGAACTAAAAAGCTGCGTGGCGTATGCGAACATCCGAACTCGGGTTGGAGGGACTGATGGAAATTGGAGTTGAAAATTTTTCTTTTTTTCGATGATTATGAAATGGCATATTTTACAATGGTAGCTCTATCACTGCCTTTCGAAACTTTGCAACTTATTTCATCTTCTCCTTTGGCCTTCTTAGAGTCTCTGAAACCGTCCCCACCAGATAACGCGGTCTACACTGCCACCAGGGTCTTGTTTCTTTAAGGCTATTAATGGACTTGCACCTAGCTCTTCATCTGATTTAGTTACTATTAAAAACAGTCTAGTTTATCTTTTAGATCTAATAATGCGCTCTTAACAACAACACCTCCGGCCAAACTTTGCCCAATTCATGGGCTAGAACGTTTACATGCCGTCTCTGTAGAATGGAATTCCTCACCAGCTACAATCGTTATATGGCTAATATATTTGACGATATAACGAACGCTCTGATTGGTTGAAAGATGACCACGTTACACTAGCTAAATATAATATTAACGCAACCTTTGAGAAGCCCCGCTATATAAAACTGCGGGGAGGCTAATCTAAACCCACGCCAACAGTCCTTAATAACTCCTCAAGTTTACAATACACACCCAAACACTCTTGCCAGATATCGGGTCAATTTTGGGGGACAATGTTTGGGACATTTTCCTCTTGCAAATAAGATTCTTGCCTGAGTTGTACCCATATTCATGTGTCTCCTTCATGTTCAACGGGTAGACAAACGAACGATACACTTGGGAATGAATGGTACAAACAACCAAAAGAAAAAAAAAAAAAAAAAAAAAAAAAAAAA